TTTTTATAACGATATTGTCTACCAACAATATCATTATAAAAAAACTGATGTAAACATCATAGAAATTAGTCATTATCACATAGATGGCAGTTTACTAAATATATGGCCATTCTCGCATAAAGAGCCATGGGTATTCAATTAAAGTCTCTATGTTTCCTTCCCATTGGAGGTCCGGACAGTATTTTTGTGGAATAGTAGTAAATGGTCAAATGGTCAAGATAGTCATAAAAGATGAGGATATTGGGCCCGAGAGCCAAATCTGCAGTAGCTGAGAATTTTTCTACAAAAAAAATGTCACTAAGACATGCAATTGGATATGAATATTAAAGGTAAACAGATGTGTTATTTTTACATTTATATGACAGAAGGCCATGTGACAGAAAAGACACTGTATAAGGTTTCAGGCTTTTTGCTTTTTAGAATGCACATGGAGTGAAAAGAGCTTGAATGAAGCATGTTCGGCTCTAGCTAAATGTATTAGAGGATATAGTGCCGAAAGATCATTATCATAAACTACCCTGAGTGCTTGTGTACAGCTCCACTCTCTGCTCACTTTAAACTGTAGAAACTGTAAAATTGTGCAAACAAGCTGTGGTCTAGAATTAGACCGCACTCCGCTATTTGAGGACTCCTGTGACATAGAGTCTGTATCACTATAAAGAAAAAAATATTTGTTGTCCTAAAATAGCTTATGGTTTCATTTGGGGTCTTCCTACCACAGATTGTCAAGAGTGGTCGCAGCATGCCCAACATCCTGGATGACATCATTGCCTCTGTGGTGGAAAACAAAATCCCGGCGGGCCGTGGCACCAAGCTGAACCTGAAGCATGAGCCTCTGGAGGAGCCCAAAGCTGAGAGAAAGAAAGCAGTGGAAGAACCGCCCAAACAATATGCTGACATCCCGCACTGCTGGCTCTACGAGCGCAGGCTGCTCTGGCTCAAAGACCACCGCAACAACAACAACTGGAAACTCTTCAGGGAGTGCTGGAGACAAGGACAGGTCTGTGAAACAAGCCCACTAAATACTGAAACTTACATTACTTTCTGTTCTGCTGGAGCAGTGGTTCTTTCGAAGCCAATATTAGTTCAGCTCAGAACATTTCCTTGATTCTGTTGTTCCCTCTTCATATCTTTTCTCTTGCTTCTTTAAAATACCGCTCTGTAAAATTGGCAAAAATCCATATTCTCATGTCCAGAATTGCCGCTGATATCCTTGCAGTCAGGATAATCCTAATAATCCTGTGTACCGATTACAGGTTGTGCTACAAATAATCATTATCTGTCTACACTTATTCTCATTTCCCTGATTATATACAGGGATGTGATTTTTCAGTATTTACATTTACATTTAGTCATTTTGCAGACGCTTTTATACAAAGCGACTTACAATTGGGGGATACATAAAGCGATTCTTCTTAAAAGAGGCAAACAGATACAGGAAGTGCTTGTAATACCAAGTTTCTAGACATTGTTCAAATAAGTACAAGCTAGAAAGAGAAGGAATAAATAAAGAGAGTTTTTTATATATATATATATTTTTTTATGATGAATTCAAGTAGCTTCAAAAGAGATGAGTTTTCAGCTGTCGCTTGAAAATTGTCAGGGATTCAGCATTCCGGATAGGGGTGGGAAGATCGTTCCACAAGCCAGGAATGGTGAACGAGAATGTTCTGGAAAGTGATTTTGAGCCTCACTGTGATGGTACCATGAGGCGTCGCTCACTAGCGGATCTCAGACTTCTGGAGGGGATGTAGATTCGTAGTAGTGAGTGGAAGTAGGCGGGTGCTGAGCCTGTGGCTGTTCTATATGCAAGCATCAATGTCTTGAACTTGATTCGAGCCGCAACCGGTAGCCAGTGCAAGGAGATAAAGAGAGGTGTAACATGGGCTCTTTTGGGCTCGTTGAAGACCAGTCGTACCGCTGCATCCTGAATCATTTGTAGAGGTTTGATAGTATTTATGCAGATTTCCATATTTTCCAGCTTGAGGAGTACAACCCATGTGAATTGCGAAATAACCTTAAAGTGCGAAATGCCATATAAAACGGCTATATTTGACCCTGGACCACAAAACCAGTCTTAAGTCGCTGGGGTATATTTGTAGCAATAGCCAAAAATACATTGTATGGGTCAAAATTATTGATTTTTCTTTTATGCCAAAAATCATTTGGATATTAAGTAAAGATCATGTTCCATGAACATATTTTGTAAATTTCCTACTATAAATATATTAAAACTTAATTTTCATTTGGACAACTTTAAAGGCAATTTTCTCAATATTTTGATTTTTTTTTGCACCCTCAGATTCCAGATTTTTAAATAGTTGTATCTCGGCCAAATATTGTCCTATCCTAACAAACCATACATCAATGGAAATCTTATTTATTCAGCATTCAGGTGATGTATCAATCTCAATTTCGAAAAATTAACCCTTATGTTAGGTTTTGTGGTCCAGGGTCACATATGATACAGTGGGGGAAAAAAGTATTTAGTCAGCCACCAATTGTACTATATACAGGTTTTCCATCTTCAATGATCACATGCCTGTTATATTATAAATTAGTGCTGTCAATCGATAAATTTAAACTCACGGTACCATTTCCACGCTCGTTTGACTCGCGCCTGGTGCTTAAGTGAAGCTGGAGCGCGCGTCTGAAATGTCTACCCTTTGATGTGGTCGTAAAGACGTTCTGGGACTGAATAAATGGACTTCTTGACAAGAAAAAGTGTCACAGAAACAACAGTTGTGAGTGGGGTGGTCAACCCTAGCTCCGCCCCTGAGTTAATTGCATTAAATATTTTTAACGCGTTAAACTGAAAATATTAATCGCCTGCGTTAACGTGCTAATTTTGACACCACTATTATAAATGCATTATACGTTATTTTATATACGAGTATTTATGTAACATTTGGTAAATGGTCCAAAATGTTAGTCAATGCGATCTCTGCCTCTGCTGGCTGGTGTCTTCTCTCAGCGGACAGCTGTTGTCTGTTGTCACATCAGTCTGCATTACATGTGCAGTGGGTTTCCATAGAGAAAGGCGCCATACATTAGTCCATTTATTCAGCATGTAATTCACATAGGCCATTATAGGCTTTAAGTGCTTTGATTCTTTCATAGGTAGCACCTCTTCACATGTGCTGCACTAATGCAGGACATTTCAAGTGAGCATATAGATCCTTTACAATGATATCTGATTTTCACTAATGGACAGGAGGATACTGAAGAGGTGTGAGGTTGAAATCCTCAAGCATACATCCTTTACCTCTAGTCATAGCATTTATTCAGCAGCAGAGGAGAGCCTTTAAGAGTATCCGAAATAGACCCCTGTACCCATCACTCCATTAATATGGTCCCCTTGAAGGTTTGAATGAAAACAAATAATGGAATTCGGACATTGATTGGGCCATATGGGCCATAGATGCCATCTTCTGGCTAAATGCGTGAATGTATTCGCTGTGACCCTTCTAGTGCAGTTGAGTGTTGACTTTTGAGTGTGCATTGGCTTTACACTCATTATTATGATGCATGATGGGATTGAACAAGTGCACTCAATAATGTCCCCTATGGTTTCAGACACCACTTCAAATGGCTGTATAGTGCACTAAAAAAGGGTGTAAGGGGCATTTTTGGACACAGCCTCTGTCTATTCATGTTCTGAAATGACATTTATTGACTTGTGCTCAGTGGACCATGACTTTACAGCTCTGCAGGAAGTAAACTGACATCGTAAAATGTGGCTCTCCCAACATATTGGTTTTCTTCCAAAACCTAGTAAGCTGCCTATGTAAGCAGCATTTTAAGTTTCCCAATGCAAAGATTGTTCTAAAGGGTAGTTACTGTTATTATGCTGCTTTTTAAAATTTCACACAGAGAATGCAGTCTCATAATGCATTGCAATGAGTTCAGTGAAAATGTCTATTCAAGATAGCAGATGACATGAAAACATAGATTTAGTGTCAGTATATGTTTAGGGGGTTATTTTCAAGGATGTGCCAGCCTTGCATGCAGAGGTTTTTAGGCTGATCTGTTACATACAGCAGTGTCTCTTTTTATACTTTTAAGAACTTCTGAGAATAAGACTTGATACTAAATAATTCACCAGTAAGTTTTTTTTTTTTTTTTAGCTGTCCCAACCAGCAGATACCGTTTTTACTTATTTTAACATAGATGAATGATCAGTTTTTATTTTAACCAATACAACTTTTTTATTCACAAGAATATTTTTACAAAAATAAAATTTGGAACTAAATAGAAGAAAACCTGGAAATGTAATTCCTATAATGTGCTTCCATGGATTCCTATTTATGCCATATTTGCAATGGTAATGCAACACCAAAACACTTGCATCATTATTATTGAGCACTGCACTTTTGCAGAAGCTAGTTTGGCACTCAGTTTATAATATACCCACAGATTTAGGTTTTTCAATAAATGTAATTATTGCTTTTAGACTTTAGAGTAATCCATCATGCAATTTCTTTTTTAACCAGACTTCAAATTTTTCCACTCTTCAAAAAGCATGTCTTAGTAGTGGTTGTGATCTCAGCTGTCATTAAAAGGCCATTTCCTGTGTGGTGTATTTGCAGCCGGCGCTGGTCTCTGGGGTGCACAAGAAGCTCAACGCCAGCTTGTGGAAGGCAGAATCCTTCAACCAAGAGTTTGCTGACCACCAGGGAGACCTCTTGAACTGCAAGGATGGAGTAATGTCCAACTCAGGCGTCAAAGAATTCTGGGACGGCTTTGAAGATCTCACGAGTGAGTGCCACTTGAAGTAAACAAATGAGCAATTTTGATTTGATTTCTCCACTGAACTTGAAATAATACAGTGGATCACTGCAGTGTCGCTCACTCTCTCTCTCTCTCTCTCTGTGTGTCCTCATAAAACCTTTTGCTCTAGCACAAGGAAGTTTTAGAGGATTGATTTCATAGGAATGTGCAGATCTTCAGTGCACGTGCTGCTGTGTCTGAACTCAATGTTTGAGTGTGTTTGGTCATGACAGGTGGCTAAAGAGCAGGGCGTGGAGATCCCAGTGGATAACGACCCGATCCGTGAGCCAGCCTGGTACTTGAGCCGTAAACTGCGTCAGCGGCTGCTGGATGAATACGCCATTCAGGGATGGACTGTGGTGCAGTTTCTGGGTGATTCGGTGCTGATCCCTGCTGGAGCTCTGCACCAGGTCTCATTGCACTCCTTCTTTTTTTGCAGTTGCTCAAACCACTGATACCAAATGAGCAAATCATGATATATGTATTCTGGGGCATATGTTTTGTTATTGATTATCCAGACCAAAATCCCCACTTGATTGACTTGGAAAGCAACAAATCTCACTGTTTTGTTTCAGAGTGTTGCTAAAAATTGATCAGACACTTAAGCAAGACTTTGTCAGAATGTCATTGAATTATTTAAAACAAAACATCAAAAAAAATAATTTCTGCTAATGCTTGTAACTTAATTTTAATCCTGTGAAACCTGACATATGAAATAATAAATACATTTAGAAAAATATATATATTTAGAGAACCAAAACTGAGCAAAATATGCAATTTGTTTGCTGATATTTATATAGACAAAAAGTAAGATGAAATTCTGTCAGTGCCGATAGCCTAAGTGATTAGTGCCCCGACATATAGCACAACTGTGCTCACGGCAGTGTTAATTTTGACAGCAAATTTTGATTTAGTTTTAGTCATAGTCTTTTGACTAAAATGCCATTTAGTTTTAGTCATATTTTAGTAATCTGAATTGTTTTTAGTTTTAGTCGACTAAATCTTCAGTAAATTCAGTCGGCTAAAATCTAAAGGGTTTAGTTACAGCGCATTTATTAAGTATTTCTCTAAAATTTCCAAGCTCATTATATAGGTTTGATATTAAGGTTTTATCATGATAGACACCGATTTAACTGCGGTGACACAACATGCCTTAATGTTCAAATTAAATAAAAGCACTTCTCATAAAGAACAAGAACATGGTCTTCTTTTTAATGAAATACCAATGGTTATATAGGCTAATAATGCATTCTTTATAGCAACATGTTTACCATATTCTTCATTCTTTCAAGCAGACATATTTATTTCTATAAATAAATGTAGATTAATATTTAGGGCTACTAAAGTTTTTCAGTCAAGAGCAGTGCATGATTTTCTGTCTTTCTGTTGTTGCTTGATTAACATCAATGACTCGAACAATAGCAACTAAATTAGGCTGCTATCCCTTTAAAACCGAATGCACAGCTGCAATGGATGCAATGTACTGATACACGTTCTCTCTGCTGTTTACCTTCACTTAAGACATAATCAACTGTGTTCACATGAATACTCGTAAAAACTGACAATTCAACATCATTTTGTGTGTAATACTCTCAAGAGAGTACTCGCGCGCTGTGAGATGCACTTTCTGTATGCGTTTGCTTCAGTGTCTGCGCTCTGAAAACTGGACCGAACCGAGTTCTCTCTTGCGTCGTCAGATTTATCCATATGTCTGCTCTTCTCTTACTCCCACATATTGACATTTTTGAACGTTTTATGCAACATGCAGCAAGTGTATGTTAGCTTATGTTGCGCCGGTTCATATGTATGCATATAACGTTAACCTCCTAACTATGCAGCAGTTTAGTTCTGAATGAATCTCTTCCCAAATCGTCCCTCCCTAACATTTTCGTCTCGTTTTTATTTGTTGAAGAAAATGTCAATAGAAATAGTTTTAGTTTGTTATCGTCTCGTTGTCGTTGGTGAAAAAAATGTAGTTGACGAAAATTATTCGTCAACGAAATGAACACTGGCTCACGGCGACCTGAGTTCAATTCCTGTCTTTAGGTCCTTTGCCGAATAAACAGCCAGTAGAAGCAACATAACTGAGAGCGAGAGAACCGATGTTTAGCCGTACATATGGGAAGCCAAATGCACTGAAAGTGGGACGAAACAGCGCGATATTACAGAGCTTGCGCCGCGCTGACCTGTCATCGGCGTGGATCAATTGACCGAGCCACGCGACCGTGCTACCGAACGAATCTCGTACTACAAACCGTGCAAACTATTCTCACAAGCGCGGTGCTGACGAGTTAAAAATACTTAATGTACGCACACAAATACGGTTAAAACGCTAAGCACTATAACGTCATGACATTCACAAAGGAGTCTGGAGTGATACACGTATTTAGGTAGATTTTGAGGCGCATTACCTTGAAAAATTAAAGTAATCCATAGTGTCCTCAGCAGCTCAGATGTTGGGAGGAAATTAAGACTTATGTTCAGTCTTACATCCAAACACAGCATTGCTTGCGAGACATTGTTGACGTTACAGCTGCTCGAGCGCGGAGAAAAAGAGGACAGTGTACAACCGCTGAGGGCAGAAACTACAGCAATGCAGGTCTGTCAATCAACCCCCGTGGCCCGGCCCGATGCAATGACGTCACACTGCATGACAATCAAAACGGCAGGCCTAGTGAGACTGACTTGGTTCAAAGGGGATTTAAAAATGAGGAGTGGGTGGATTTTTATCATTGTAGGGTGGTTGTGTTCACACCCTGCTCACACACATTTATGTCCAAACACTATACAAGTGGATTTTGCATAATAGGTGCCCTTTAAGTTGCTTCAGTCCAGTAAATGATCTGATATTACTAACAATATACAAGATATTCTTCCAAAAAGACACGTGTACCACGACCTGAAGGGAATGTTTTAACAATTATGCTAAAAGGCCTTTTATTTGCTAAATTATAACGTGTCAATCAGATGACTGAAGGCATGTAGTAGATTGTGTAATACTATCTGAAGTTCCAGAGCACCAGTATTATACAGTATGTCACATCAGTGCACACTCACATTTGTGTCTCTCATCCATACAGGTGCAAAACCTGCACAGCTGCGTCCAGGTGATCAACGACTTCGTCTCTCCGGAGCACGTGGTGCATTCGTTCCACTTAACCCAGGAACTCAGATCCTCCAAAGAGGAAATCAACTATGAAGATAAGCTACAGGTAGAGTGGAAATATCACAGCATGTCAACATTTATTGGAATATTAAGGCCTGAACTGGATCGCGGTGTCTCTATGATTTGTCACTCAGTAGGTTAAGTTACACAAAAAATACTAACAATGAAGTGTCTGAGAGAAGACTGCCATTTGTTTTCTTTTATTACTGTTTATAACTGTTTGTATCAGTGCGCATGCAGTCTGATTGCTGCCACTTACGTTATAAACTCCAATACTCTTAAAAATAGACTCCTGACAAAAGAACACATTTCATATTTTCAGATGCATTGTTAGACATGAGATAGCATAACAGTTACAAGTATCAGGATTCCCTTTGAGGTTTCAGAGCAGTTCGCCAGCGATGAATACCGTACATTTATCCCAATAGATTGCTTACGATCCACTGCTGATGAATTATGACAATGTTTCCTTTATGGACTTTATACTGTAATATTGTGTAGATGGATGCAAAAGTGCACATTTGATCTCCTTTATCTTTTTACATGAGCAGCTGGAAGTAGTAAAGCAAGAGTCCTGTGGGCTTGTTTGTAATTGATAGCCCCATATTATGCATAAAAACCAACTTGCTATTAATTTCATTAATCAATCAGCACATCATGTAATTAATTACATTAAGTATTAGCACCTGGCAGCCCTGTTTTTAACACATTCAGGATATAGATTTTGCCAGTAATGTTTTTTTTTTTTAACAGTCCATTAATCGATCTCTACTTCACATGTATTGATATATTAGTACCCATTTCAGTTTCAAAAATGTGCACCAGTAAAAGAATTCCAGATAAATTGAGACGTACAGTATGGTTTGGACATACGGTATTCATTTTATAGGTCTTAAAATGATGATGAATGTTTCTCAGCACTGCAGTCATCAGTTGGCATGCCGTTTCAGACGTCTCTCGTCAGAGTCCGGAATCAGATGCGATGTTGCGTGATTCTAACAGCCTGTCATGTCTCTCAGGTCAAGAACATCTTTTACCACTGCGTGAAGAATGCCGTGGGAACATTAAAGAGGTGCTGTGCCGAGGAAGAGGAGACGAACTCATGACACTCGTCAACACGCTCCCCCAAATATGCACACTAATGCTCACACCGCGAACCTCCAGTGCCAAGCAGAGAAAACCCACCAGTAAACTGTATTTATTTGTTACTGACACCATAGCAGTATAGCGCATCAGGATGACTGTGATCGACACGCCACACACGTCTGAAGAATCTAGTGTTTGTTTGTCTGTTTGGTTTCGTTCCCATTTTGTTCTTTCATACTGTATAGTTTCAGTGGAGAATCGTATTTATTTTTAGGAGTTCTGTGCTCTGTTCTCGATCAAATGTAAATGTGACTTGTACAGTTTGCTAATGGATTTCTGATGGCGCTCACTACTTTGGAGTTACTGTGAGAGAGATCCGCTGTCTCGTGTCCTCATGCCATATCTTTTGAGAAAAGAACTGCCAAACAATTGTAAACATTGTAAAGTTCTATTATGTAAAGAAAGACTTAATAACTCACGTAACATTTTATTAAGTATTCACTGTAAAATGGAGACATTTACAAAAAAAAATTGTAATTTATTTAAGAAAAAACGGTAGTTTCTTCTTTTTATGTTCAGATTTACTATGGCGAACTTTAAGTTCAATGGAAAAAGCAAATCGTACTATGCTGTGTAAATATATACATATATACATTCACTGATGTATTTTTTTAAACATGGCTTGCTTCAATTTCAAATTTTAAAGTGCAAGTGTTACATGCTTTGTACATTGAAGTTCAAAGGGGTTTTACATTTTCCATTAAAATGGATTTATCAAATATCTGCCTGCCTTTTGCCTTCTTGACAAGAAGAACGGTTCAAGATAACATGTTCAATGTTTGGCTAATATATACATTTAAATATATTCTGGTAATCAAAATGGAATGATTTGCTTTGCCTCTGAAATTATTGTTAACCAATAGCCAGACAGTCCGTTCTAGTGCTTGTTTAGTATGTAATGCCCTCTTTTTACAAGCCAGTGTCTTATTGAGAATGTCAAATTCTTGATTTTCTGCACAATAGTCTTTGCCCACTTTTGAACACATGCTGTGTCATTCACAGATTGAACACCAGAGGAGGCTGTTGAGCTTTTGTGGGAATTTAGAAACTATGAAATCAACACTTGTCTGTATTGCAGTCACTACCATTTCAAAGTCTCTGATAAAAGAGTTTTACACAAACCTAAAAAGCAGCACAATTATTTTTACATTAACTAATACCTTTCAAAAGCAGTGACCAATTTAGACCTGTTTGCATCAGTGGGTCGTTGACATGCTATATATTCCATCAAAAATGACTTCAAACATTCTTTTATACTTATTACGAATGCAGCTTTTTGTGAGCTCATACTCAGTAGACTGGATGGAATGTTTGTACTATTGTAATATACTTTCAAAATAACTGAAAAAAGATTTATGCTGCCACTTGTTAAAATCTTTAATTCTTGTCAGAACAAGAAAACAAAAGAATTATACATAAATTCTTGTTTTCAATATCTTAATCATATACGTACAGCTACCGTAGAACAGCCATTCATGCATCAAAACACTTTCGTCATTTGATTTTTACATCACAAAACAAAAAGTAAAATAACAAAATCTAATGCACCCTGATTACTGTGGTAAACCAGTAATTAAACATTGAATTAAAAACAAAATGAAAAGAGCAAAATGTGGATTTGGTTCCCTCTTCATGACACAAATATAAGCCATAAATTCATCTCTTCCCAGGCGCGTCTGGCACATGTTGGTAGCTTTTGATTAATGTGAGTGAACCTGGTTTATTGTTAGAGCAAGGTATGATTGTGCAATCAGTTACCTGATATTATTAACACCGTGACCCAGACAATCCTTGATTGATGAGTACAATGAAGCATCAAACAAACCAAAGAGCCAAGCTTTCAGGACATGTCCATTCCTATGCTGTTTGCATTGCGTCTGAAGAATGACACAGCGGAGAAGTGAGCGGAGATGAGAAACAACAAAATGAACGAGTGATTCTGTAGCACTTGACCAGATTATTGCTTATCGTTCCGAATGCAATAGTCTCACGCTCATGTTCAGCCTCCTGTAGAAATGATCCACCACTGTTTTTGTTTAATAAGTTGCTACAAATCGTCCAGAGATGACATCACGACTGGGCTTTGTACTAATTGCAATAAGGCAAAACAAGTGCTGCAAGCTGGTTATCAGTGTACGGAAACAGAGTGCATAACTAACTGCATTGAGGCCTCTCGGCTTCCTCTATGCCCTAAATCTGCGCTGTTGATAGACGACTGAAACTGCATAACCACAACGTCGACAACGATGGTGATGATCAACAGATACTGCACAAAACCCTCACACACACACTCACACACACGTGTAGTTCACAGTGTCTGTGTAGGAAATAGTTTTCGATTGAAAGTGGGATTTTGCAAGAGGCAAATTCACCTGCTGATAAAAAGTCTGATAACATAGTGTTCGACAGAATCTCCGATATCCCTTTTCACTCGTACTTCATAACAAAAAAAAATTAAAAATGCATTAGAAATGTTCTAAAAGGCACACGTACTTCAAAAAGAGTTGTTTTCTTTCTTTGTACATCCAATCGCTGCGGGGTGCCACTGAGAAGTCGTGAACCCGACGGTTGAGAGAACCGTCATTTACGCCACCGGGCTGCTTTGCCGTGAATGTGCCTGCTCTGCGTGTTCGCTGGCATGCAACGGCGATCGAAGTCTCCCCTTGGTGCGTGTTTTGAGCGCGAGCGGTCACAGCTTCTCCCCGTCCAGCAGCTCCTGCAGTTCCTGCTGGATGTCCTCAGGAAGCTCCAGGCCGGGCAGGTCTTCCAGAGGGATCTCCTGAGTGGGCATCTCCAGCGGAGGGAGCTGTGGGATGGGAATGTCCTTGGCCTTGCGCTCCTCGGCCGTCTGCGGAAGCACCCATAGCTCCGACCGCTCCACGAAGTCGGCATCGGCGTAGGGTTCCTTCTTCAGCCGCGCGTTCTTCGCCCGCAGCTGCTCGTTCTCCCGTTTCAGCTGCTCATTTTCAGACACCAGCCGGTCCACCAGGTTGCGTAGGTCGTCGATGGTGGTCTGCTGCTCCTCTAAACGGGTTTTGTCGTCTTTCTGGGCTTTACTGCCAGCGCAGGGCTCTGGGACAGTGCCTTTGTTCTTCAGAAGATACAGCCAGGTGTCGTACTCTCGTTCGGAGGGTTGGGAGACGTCTGTGGTGGCTCCGGCCGGCTGTAGGTGGCGGCGTGGCGTCTGGTCTGAGGCGGGAACGTGCTGGAGCGTTCTGGGCTTGCTGTCTCGCTTTGCTCGCTTCCATTGCTCCTCGATCAGCCTCTGCTGCTTGACGTGACTGTCCCTCTGAAGCTCCAGAGACAAGCGAGCCTAACAGGAAAGAAACATCTCATAAGCCGCTTTTTCCACTATCGGGCCGAACGGTTCTCTTTGCTTAACCATTCCATTCCGTGCCAGACAGCACGGATACGGTTTCATTTTCCACTGTGGTGCTGATAACGGAGCTCTTTGGAATGTAATACAAATGCGTTGCCTTGGTAACGCAAGTGTAATGTAAACAGCGATATGGATGATGATCAGATATTTCTGTTTTTGGGACTCCTTTTTTATCTGATATTTACTTCGTTAAATAACAGAAAAAAGGATATAACTCGACGCAAAAAATTAAATAAACAAGGCGACGACGGGTATAATATCAATAAGTGCAAATGTTTCCTCCACAGACTGTCTCAGGCATTTTTGCTTTTTTTATACTGAACGTAGCTTAGCTGTTTGATCAAAGAGCGTGCTTCCGCTTAGCCAGCTATGGAGAAACTGGTAGCCAGGCAACAGAGCGGCGAGGTCACGCACACGCACTCTACCAGCACGGCTCGGCACGGTTAGAGAACGGTTTGGAATCGTGCCGCACCGTACCAGGCTCATGTGGAAATACAACTGGAACCGTACCCGACAGTTCTTAGAACCGTTCGGCACGATAGTGGAAAAGTAGCTATTGTCAATTTTATCCACGATAAATAATAAAGAAAATGCAGGACAATGAGGACCATCTAGGCGTACCTGTTCACACTCGGTGAGCTTCATGGCCTCCTTGAGAAGTTCTGTGGAGACATAAGTTATTTAAGCACACACTTCCAATCTGAAGTTGAGCCCAGTGGTACTCTCATAGATTGTACAAAAATATAGTTTCGGCTCAAATTCGACTCGCCGAGCTTTGGCGCTCTTTGTGAGACAAACCAAAGGAGACTAAAGCCTTACACATAAAAAAACTGTTTCTCATGAGGATGCATTCAACATTTACACAGGTTAGTCTGTGATTTTATTGCTGTTCGAATCCAGAATGTCTGTGTTTTTCTCCCACCACCTGTGTACAAATGTACAGCTGAATGGCCTACTGCTTTTTGACAAACACCAAGGTTGTGTGGTACCTACATCTGTGATTTTGTGAAAAATTTGGATCAATCCAATTTTTCTGTAAATCCTTTTTAACCACTGCCAAGCAGTGTACGCTAACTTTTGCACTTCATGGTAATGTGAACGCATTAGAAATATGGATACTTTGATTAATTAAAAGATGAAACTACAGCTCCACTACAAGGAATGGGAGGTGTTAACTAAACTAATGACATTTTTTAAATATTTATATAGATTTATATAAAATTACCATGAAGTATTAGGGTTGGACAATATGGCCAAAATTTATATCACAATATATTTCTTAATTCCAGTCAATACGATATTCGAATTCCGATATCGATATGAACAATTAAAAAAAAAAAAAAGCCTCAGAAAACCTGCCAAAAACACCCACAACTGTACCTGTACCTACAAACTTCTAAAAAAAATGTATTTGCCAAGTCTATGAAACCTCCTCCTATAAAACTATCATATTTTAGAAATAAAAACGGTACAAATAAATTAATGTTTAACTTTTCTCTTTTGCTGCGTTTGACACTGTCGATCATAACATACTTCTAGAGACTGGAAAACTGGGTCTGGCTTTCTGGGATTGTCCTCAAATGGTTCAGGTCATACTTAGAAGGGAGAGGTTATTATGTGTGTATAGGAGAGCATAATAAGTGGACGTCCATGACATGCGGAGCCCCACAAGGCTCAATTCTTGCACCGCTTTTGTTTAGCCTGTATATGCTCCTACTAAGTCAAATAATGTTAAAGAACCTAATTGCCAATCACAGCTATGCTGATGATACCCAGATTTACCTAGCCTTAACATCGCCAAATGACTACAGCCCCATTGACTCCCTCTGCCAGTGCATTGATGAAATTAACAGTT